CAGGAGCTGTAGCCTCTGGCTCAGCTGTACCTTCCTATAGACTCTGCTGGTGGTTGTAGGGCTGTGTCTGACCCTGGTTGCTCTCGTGGGATATGACCATGGCCTGCAGGTTAGCTTCCTGGCCTGATCTTATGCCTGTCTCATCACTGCAAACTCACCTGGAGATCCAGGCTCTCAGTTGACCATTGCTGCCCTTGCCCAGCCCGCTTGCCTTGCCTGACAAGGACGCTGCTGACCCTGGCACCCCCTTTGGCTCCTTGCCCTTTAGGGGGCAGCTGGCTGGTGCTGTGCCCTGACTGCCAGCTTTGGTTGCTGTGAGCCCTGAGGTGAGCACCAGGAAGCCTAGCATGTGGCTCTCCAGGGTCTGCGCCCCTATAAACAGCCTCCTCCCTCAAGCTCTGGTCTCCCACAGCCCTGACCCTCTGCCTGGGCTTTTTGTAGGACCTTCTGTCCCACTCCTTTCCCCCAGCACTGGCCTGGAGGGGGTGGCGGTTGTGTGTATCTCTAAGGGCAGTGTAGTGACACCTCCTCCTCCAAGTCTCTTCTGCAGCATCCCTTTCCTCATCTGTTGTAACTGGTTCCATAACCCTCCCCAAAATATCCCACTGATACCCTGCAGCAATGATACCTCTCCAGAGTAAGACCCCCTCTGATCCCAAATGGGAGGTATAGGGACAGACATGCCAAGGAGGGGAGGTTGCTACCAGTGCCCTGGGGGTGCTGCTAAGCCTCAATGGCTCTGACTGTCCTCACCTGGGGCTCCACCTGGGCCCAGGTCTCAGCTGGAATAGGGCTTCTGGGTTCTCAGCTCCTGCGTGGGTGAAGTCAGAGGAGCACTGCTCTCCAGCTCAGCTCTTGTGCTTGGCCACTGCCTTTCTGGATTGACTGTGGTTCTGCCTCATCACCATGACTGTGCCTTGAGGATCTGGACTCCTGGTTGAAGCTGGCTGAGCCTGCCCTGCTTGCCTCATGGGGTCCTGTGGGACAGGTCCCCAGCTGGCTGAGGTTCCCCACCTTGTGTTGTAGGGAGGTTGTACTGTTCATGGCTCCATGTGCCCTAGGGAGCAGCCGTCCTTTCCTGCTCCCTAACAGTTTGAAAGCACCAGGCCTCGCCTGTGTTTGGCTGGCTCCTGTTGGGTTTGGAGTGTGTCCAGTTGGCAATTTCCCTAAATTTCAAGAGGCCTTTAGTTCCTTGCCTTGTATGCAGCAGAGCAGGCCTTTTCCACAGGGAAAACTCTGCCACTGACTTTTGTTCTAAAGCATTATATTACTTTTCTCAGGTATTTTTCTAATATACCCAAGTTTAGGAATCACTTCCCCAGTGGGATTTGATTCAACCCTTACAGTTTAGAAATAAAAATCCTCAACAGGCTTTGGAGAAGTTAGTAGTCTATAATGGGAAAGCTTTAGTGTGGTTCTTTGTCACTTCTACCACATTTCTGTTACTGAGTTTAGTATTCACGCTTTCCTAGCTCTTTTATCAGTGAATCTAGAAGTCCTTTGAAAGTTGGCTGGATGGCAGTTTCTTCCTTTTTTGCAGCTGAAAATTGAGACAATTGGGTTTGTTTGCTTGTTGTTTTGTTTTGTTTTTCCCATGCAATCTGTTTTGGGGGTTTATATCCTCTCTGCGGAGGGATGAGCACATACGACGTATGTGCTATTTGCGCAGAGGGAGACCTGTTCAAAATCTGCAAGCCCTGCAGTGCACCAGCTTGGGTGCCATTCCGTTGTGGCCCTGGAAATAGGAAGGCAGGGAGAGAAGTGTGGCGGTGGACAGCCTCAGGCCTGTTAGCTTGGTGTCACAATGCCCTGCGGCTGGAGGTGACTAAGGCAGCTTTTGGAGAGAGGTGACCACAAGTCAAAGAAAGGCTGTAATGGCAGCAGTCAGGGAGCCAGGCAAGGACAAGGAGGTATGCCACCAGGCAGGGTTCAGGGGAACATGAGGAGCTGCAGCACGGTGCAGAATGCTGCTGGCTTTTTAGGAGGCTCAGGTATGGGAAAGCTGGATGTCACTGCCATCGCGTTGTCAGAGTCTTTGTGTTGATCAGAGAGAAATATCTACAGACACTATAAATAGAAGAAGTGAAAATTGCTTTTGTACTCTGAAAGTAGTGTATTTGGCAATGTTATAAGGATTTTAAATAGAAGTCAATTAATAATTTGATTTTAATGATCTTATTTTCCTTTAAGTAGTTGTAGAGGGGATATTTAATGGTTTTTATTAAAAGATATATGAATTGTAATGATTTGTTCCCAAATCCTGTTTTCTATAGTATTGATGATGTTTTGATTTTCTTTTTCAGGTCTTGTCTCTCACTGAAATACTCTGGCCATGTGTGCTTTTCTTGATTCTGGCTGCAATCCGCTTCCAGGAGCCCCCAAAATACAAGGAAAACTGTATGTTTTTTTTTCACCTGTGTTCTATTTTGGTCACCTCTGCTTGTAGAAGTATTTAGGAAATATTAAAGATATCCTAGAAGGGAGGGACTTAAATGTGGTGGAGCCGATGGAAAGAATTCCACAGCAAGATTCAGTCTTGTGTAGCTGTGGATCTGAGCAAGCCATATTTAGGCAGGAAAGAAATACAAAGTTTAAGGTCTGATTTGTCAGAGCAGTTTTAAATATATACTTTGAAGTAAGGTGGATTACTTGGGGTTTAGTTGTACTTATTACTTTCTATTGAGTAGTGGAGTTTAGATGACTGGCTCAGACATCGACAATTGTGCAGTGGATATTAACAGTTAAATGTCTCAGATGAATCTTACCCTTACCCACTTCCTGGGATTTAGAAGGGACATTTAGTAAATAATAAATTCTTCCATCAACACTTCAAAACTTGTTATGACTACATCCATCTTATAAAGCTATTTTTGCTTTTTTTCTTGTCAGACGTTAGCTTCATTCAGAAAAGAATGATTTGTGTATTACAGTCTATTCAGTTTATTATTCTGTTATTCACAGATGTGTAAGCTGGGGATAAAACAGCCTTAGCTACATTAGAAACCAATTTGGTAAAACAGTTATAGATCTGTACAGTGAAAACATTTGCAGAGAATCTAGCCTGCACTATATACATTTACTTTAGACTAGCTCTAGTCTGGACCCAAGGATGCAATGCATGCTGATGGTTTGTGTGCATTAAGTGTGCTCTTGGAGTACATATTCTGCCTTGTTTTAGCAGGAAGTAATCCAGTGTACATGCTCAGAGAGCTTTCTACAATGTGAACTGAAGTGTGCTAAGTAAAAATAACTCATCTGCAAACGGCTCTGGTCATTCACAACTCAAAATTCATTATTTTATACATCAGGTACAGTTCCTGGTGAATGAAGGATGGTTTGACTAACAGTGCAATTCCTAATGGTACATGCCTCAAAGATAGTGGCACATGAATTTAAATAAAATTAGGATTTTTAAGTATCATGTACAATTCCCCATTTTAGCATCTTTCAATTCTGAATATTCAGTAAAAGTGCTAGCCCAAATGCTAGTTTTATCTCCGTCTCATTTAATTCCCTTAATTTTGATGTAATGGTTGCCAAAAGAAAGATATCCAGGGGAAGAGGGAAATGACCTTTCAAATCTTTCTCAATTTTAGCTAATTTAAACAGAGAAATGAAATTAAGTAGGATCCCTATAGCTATTCCTTATGTTTCAAAATAAGCAAAAAGTGGCTTTGTATTTTGAAGTTTAAATTCTCAGAGCCATGGAGAGATATGGATAAATTCCAGAGATGTGGAAAAGTTGCTGTTTATACAGCCTTGAGGGATGTGCATTCAGACATTGCTGAATAACAGTTCCTTTATCTCATGAAAGCTGGGGCAAAAAGAGGAAATACTATTTTTTGAAGAAGTCTATATTCTAATCTAGGTCACAAGTCATTTTGGGAAGAGAGGCTAGAAAGCATATGATGTTGCAACAGCATTACTACCATGAAAATCAGCTTTTCAAAGACTGTGCTCAAATGTTATACCCTGTTCTCACAGTCTGACACAAAAGTTATTCATCTTCTGTGGTGAATTAGTTGTTCTTAAATGGGACACCTGCCATCCGTACAACTTCATTGTTTGCAGGCGACAAAGCCACTTTCTAGGAGAAGGGAACAGAGTGTGATGGTAGAGGTTTGTAACTGCAATGTCACTGGCTTTAATTCTGCCACTGTGTGGTTTTAGGTTACTTAGAAGCTCGGGATTTACCAAGTCGGGGCCTTTATCCTTTCATGCGGACCCTTTTTTGTAATGTTGGTTCCAGATGCAAGAATATGAGTTACACAGCACAGAAAAACAACCGCTTCAGGTAAGTTATACGAATGTGACAGAGCAGTCAGTATCACAGTGCATCTTTTTCTACAACAAAGGTTCTTAGTGTCTTGTAGACAGGTAGAACAGGAGGTTTGTTACTCTTTGCTAAAAGTTGCCTTTGGTGTCTTTATGAATATAAAATATGTAGGGCCTTAGTCATGCCTCTCCCTACTTTTTGTTTGCCTTTCTTGGGCATTTCATGCTTTATTAGATACTCAAAAGTGTTTTGGGGGGAAAATTGGAGAGGTGCTTTGTGATATCATACCTGCATATCACACATGGATTTAAACTTTGAATATTTTGGGACCATATATGGCAGAAGAAATAAACACAGAAAAGCAAAACAGGGGTAACTCCTGTGTAAGACACAAAAAGCCAAAAAGGAGTAGCAGATGCTCTGTAATAAAAAGAACTTGAAAAAGTAGTCTGTGAGAGGGCCTTGTCACAGGATCCCAGAATGCAGAAAGAAAAAAAATGAAGTTGAATCTGGGCTTTTCCTTTAGGAAATGTAGTGGTTTCATCTACTTCAAAATGTTGAAAAGCATTGAGATACAAAGACACTTATGCAAATTGGCTGAAGGATGTAGTCATAAGCAACCTTTCAAAATACATAACAATAACGTCAAATTAAGGTGAGCTAATCAGAATATATGTATGTATATATGTATGTTTATTCTTAGAAAATGAAGAATATCTACAAAAAAGGTCTTAGAGGTTTGAGCCAGTTAAGTGTGTAATAGCATCAAGTTTTTATGGTTTATTATTGTAGAAGTTTATAGGTAGCAATATCAGCATGCAGCAAGTTGGAAAGCTTCAGTATCACATTAATAGGCCATAATATTTACCGTTTGATCTAGGCAGTCTGTTCTAGTTATTTGTACACGTAGTGAGCTGTTGATTAAGCATAAGACCATGCAAAATAAATCTCATTTATGGGCAAACACCTTCTACATAAGACAGTAATTTGTTAGAGGAATTAAAATCTTTACAGTTTAAGCCATGAATCATTATTAGTCCATATCTAGTATTACATAAAATAGTTATATACAGAAAAAACAGTATTACAGTAATATCCCTAAACAAAAATTATCCTAATAATAATAATAATAATAATACTACAGTTAAAATTGTTACATAACCACTTAGTTTCTACTCCTTTCCCTGGGGTTATGCTCATCTTTCCACTGCCATACTGGGTGGTAAGGTCAGCAGCTGCAGTGTGATGGTGGTGGGGTTGTTATGGCAAGTCGTGATCTGGAGCCCGTTACTTGGAGGAATGTGGTGTTGATGGCTTCTTTTTCACTCTAGGGTGCACTTAGGGTCACTTATGTTTGCTAATGTGCTTTTATACCTTGCTTGTTCTCCACTGGTCTGCATATCTATGATACATCTGAATTTATATAGTGCATCTGAATGTATATGGTATCCTTTACCTATGTTAGGTACCTGTTCTTTTTTCTTGATACTTATAAATTGACTTTGTTACTGACTGCTAGTGAGTTGTTCATAGCCATGGTGTCCTCAGTGCCAGCCTGTGCCCCATCTCTTATCATCCCAGACCTGTACTCCAGTACAGTGCATCCTGTGTCCCCACTTCTCAAGGCCTATTATACTGGGGCTGTGTTTCTCTGCACTGCTTTGCTATGTTAATTGTAAATATCTCCCTTTGCACTGAACGATCACTTGTTACTACTATCTGTATAAAACTATGGTGATATTGTACAATGACAAGTGAAAGTAAAGCAAACAGCCATAGCTGTCTGGCCAGGAAAAAAAAAAAAAAATTAAACTAAAGCAAGTCAGACCCAAAACTTCAGGCACATTAAGGCACGTTCAGACAAAGCAAAGGTGGCAAGTGTCATGCTGTGGTCTTGCAAACTCAGTACAAAGCCTGTAGCCTGTTAATTGAAGTGGCAATACTATATTACTGGGTTATAGAGTTACAACAGCTGCTGGCCTTTTTAAAAATTGTTTCCTAAAGGCATAGTTTTTATTTATATCACTAGTCCAGATGCCATCTAAGTGTGTTAAACCTCTCGAAACTATGAGCCATATTGACTGCTCTACATGCTTATTTACACTGCTTTCACTGAACTGCCCAAATTATATTTCAACTCAAAAGAAAAGCAGGAAAGAATTTCCTGGAGGCAGTATTAGACCTACTTAAGAAGCAGTGAAATGATTCAGTGGCTTTCAATTTTTCAACTGAAAAATAAAATGCATGCATGTATGCATATTTATACACTCAATAGGCTACACCGAGTAGCATATAGCCTAGGTAAAGAAAAGGGGTAAAAAGGTAGGATGAAGTTCATTCTGAGGTCAGTCTATTCCAGCAGGTCCATCATTATAAATTAAATCAACCTCAGGGCTGCTGTGACTTATGCTGGCTGCCAACAGCCTTAGGAATACAGACTGTCAGCTTGATCAGCCAAACATAACTGAATCCTGCAATGTCCCTGTGTTGACTGGAGAGAAGGGGTGGCATAGGAACAGTAATACCAATTATTGAAGATTTATATTGAACCTTAGGTGGTTCTTTATAATCATTTTCGGGGACATTTTTGCATCAACAATATTGTGTTTATTAAGTGTAAATCAAAGACTGTGCATAGTTTGCATGGACGCTTAACCCATTTGTTTTCACAGTATGTACCACATGGGTGCTGTCAGTTTGAAATATAGTCATTGCCTTTTGGAAAAAGTAATTCTATGACTTCTCTTGGAACCTCCACTATGAAAGCCATAAACCACCCAAATAACTATTTGTCAGTGAGCAGCCTGAGCAGGGCTGCTCCATGACAGGGGCTTAGCCAGTGGTTGAAGTCATCCTGGTGTGGACCATGCCCTCACAGATGTGGCATCGTGCCCCCAGGCAACAGGCTCCATTAACAGCCTCCAACATGGTAAGAAGATAAGCCAGGTGAAGGCTACAACTACATTAACTTTGATTTGCAGCAAGATCTGCCACCTCCTCTGATGCCTCAGAAACCATCCATTTTTCAGTAGCTCGAAGGCTTTGTTCTTGCTTCTCTCTTCAGCCACTGCAAAAGCTGCTGGCTTGCACCTCTTTGATGTGATTCCCTAGCCTGTAACGCCCAGCAGTATCTCAGAGCAAAGGAGTAAGGAAATACTTAGGAGGTATACTTAGGAGCTCCCATGACAAAGGACATTTTCCCCTGCTCTTTCCAGAATGTTCCACCCCCACCTCACCTTAACAGAGCACAGAGTAAAATTACGAGCATGCAAATAAGATAAAAACCATGCAGCACGGTGTCCTATGGTGTTATACCCACACCCATGAACGAGAGTACATGTGCATGGAAACATTAATGTATTCCCAGTACTCTTAATTGCACTGCAAGTCTTGCAGATTGCAGTGGGATTTGCCCTTGCAGCTGACTCCTATATCTATGTTTGTTAGACTTCTCAGTACCTAAAAGAAAATTAAGCTTAGGTTTTCTCAGACTTAGATCTACAAAGATCATGAAAACAAGACTCTAAATTAATGTTATTTCTAAGCACATTAGTTTATTTCTCTTTGTTTAGCTATAAGTAGTAGCAGCCTGAGCAGCCTCACCCTGTAGGTATGTCAGAGCCCCAGGTCTGTCCCTGGCATCTTCTCTTGGACCGACCCCTTGTTCCTATGTGGTAGCTTTGTCTCCTTTGGCATCTGACTGAACTCCTGGGCTTATCCTGCTGTCTTCAGTTTGATTTTTGTTGCTTATGTTGGGGCTGTCACTGTACCCTGTGATCTACCCCCAGCTCTGCCTGCTGGCTGGGATCCTGGGGGACGTTACCCCATCGGTGAGGGCATGGCCTCCTCCGTGGTCACCTCAGCTTGGCCCCCCTCCTGAAGCAGCCCCGCTCATGCTGGTCCCTTTCTTCTTGCTGATTTTATTGATAACTGGGCCTCTGTGGTTCTCTAGTGGAGAAGTATTAGAAGAGCTCATGTATGAGAGCAGGTGTAGAAAAACAAAATCAAGGAAGGTCTAAGCAACAATGATAGCATTTGTGTAAGAATTGCTTAGAGGGTCAAATTTTTCTTTGATGATGTATATCTTCAAATGAAAAAAGAAATAAAACTGCAAGATAGCTGTATGTCTACAGCAACTTATTGCAGTAGTAACCGTATGTAGTCTGCAGACTTGTAGTCTTATACTATGTAGTTGGAAACCAGAAATCTAAGCAATTTTTGTGATCCTGCTGGTAGATTGTCAGAGAGTTAGGGAGAAAACATAAGTTTTCTTCATTTTATAACCAATTAAGAACAACTTTTTTTCGTTCATTATATTTTTTTATCTATTGCATTTTTGAAGGCTTATAACAGTACGCAACACGAAGGGGAAACATCTTTCCTTTCTGTGACTGACACGCAGTAAACTATTGTCCAGGGTGTGTGTTGGTGTTGATGGAGATGTCATGTCTCCAGGCTGTTCTGAGATGCTGCAGAGCAGGAGCCAGCACAGCTGGGTCTTTGCAAGTTTAGAGAGAAATTTTTAATGTGGTGACAGGGGTGAGTTTGAGACATGAGTTTGCTGAGAGGTTTATGAAAATCACCAGTCTAAATTGCATTGCACATAATAGCTGAGATCTCAGATGAGCTCTGAAATGTTCTTATTGTTGTCCCAAGTAACTGGGTAATTTGGGCAGAATTAGGTTTTTCTGAACCATGACTTAGGAAATGCCAATTGCTTTTACATGCTCACAGAGATGCAGTCTTTTTGCTCTTTTGCAGTGTTTTGTTATGGTCAAAACTCATATGAATGTCTGTCTTCAGTTTGATTTTTGTCCTTATGCAAGTATTTCTGGAAACGCACAATTAAGGGAAGAGTTACCATGGATGATAATGAACCAATATTTGTATACAGAACTTCTCCTAACAGGCCAGTTCTAATTATATATGTCCTCTCCTACAAATTGCTGGCTTCCTCCTTTTGTCCTTTTTGTCATCCCTTCTCCACTTTATTGTTCCTAGCAACTGCTGCTGTTGACTTCCTTTACACATACATAAGTAAGTTAATGTCATCTTCTGCCCCAGAAAGCACACTTTGAAGGCTCTTTGGGAGAGTAACAGTAGAACAATTAAGTATTTTTGTTGGCACACTGTCTGAAAATTGCTTGTCTTGATGGTCCCTGCAGCTGGTTTTGAAGTTTAATTTCTTATTTTTTTGGCAAGATAGTGACATTTTCCTGCAATTTTGTGTAACTAGTTCTGAATTAAGAGACTAGTAGAATCTCATAGCATTCTTATTAGGAGATTAATATGGTCCCATATTACCATGTTGAAGACATGTAGAATCCTTTAAAACTTAGCATGGATATTCAGCAAATGGAACCTCTGTAATATTTTAATCTGTTTCATAAAACTGAGCCTGATAACTAATATGCCCATTGCCATTTCTTCTTCCAAAGGAGATTGCACCCAGCTCCAACAGTATCCAGAGGAAGGGCTGTGGCAATGATGGCAAAAGAGGGGCATAAGTGGCGTCTGGCTGACATCAGTCCTGCCCTGGAAATCCCCATGAAGCAAATAGCTCAGACACAGCACATCCGAATGGCTGCTGTCATCCTGCAGAGAGGCTTGTGCGTGGGAGTGCGGTGTTTCTATGAGTTTTTCAGGTTGCTATTGCGGCTTTATCTTCTGTAATAGCTGGGCCTTATGCCTGTTTTTTCAGTCCTTCTTCCATACCCTGAACATCTACAACCCCCTACTGTTTCCCAGTTCTTCCTCCGGTTTCACTATGAATTTGCTTTTCCCTGAGGTTCTCCCTGGAGCTCTCCAGAGCCACCACGCTCCAAGTGCTGCCAGCTATTTTCTTCGATGCTTCTAGTCTGTGTATCTTCCCCATACCCCCCTCCGTGTACCCTGTGGGACCCCTTGTAGGGCAGTGGCTTGTCTCCCCAGCCCTCAAGCCCGGAGACACTGATGGGACAGCCCAGCTGAGCTTGCTGTCCTGCTCGGGCAAGGGGCAGAGGCACAGCATGGTTATGCAGGCTGCTGCTGCTGCTTCACACAGTGCCTAGGGCAGCACAACCTGAAGCCTTTTGCCCAGCTTCTTAGTTCAAAGGAAACTTTGCAGCTATCACTGAAATACTTTGAAGCTAAGCGATGAAGAGTAGACAGCATTTTTCCTTGGGGGGGATGGGGAGGGAGTTCAGTTTTCCTCTCGTTTGAAAAGCTATTGCTAAACAGACCATGCTTATCTATTATGCTTCCTACCTACGTGTTCCAAGAACCGCTTGCTACTCTGCTTATGCAGTGTGAGGCTGGATGGTTTCTGGGCTGGGATTACTCACAAGAGATTCAGGTTTACAGAAGTGATTAATGTTCACACAATTCAGCCTGTTTTATTGGGTGTGCTTCTGCTATATATCAAACGAGTGGCTATAGCACATCAAATTAGATGCCAAGAGGGGTATTTTTGTTCCCCTGCTCTTTATCAACCCACGCTTTGCAGATCCAAGGTGCAGCAGAGTCAGCAGTGGTGGTAGAGGAGAGGGAGTTACTAACTCTACCCTCGCTGTCACCTGTGCAACCTGCTGCTGGCAGGGAGGCTGAGCAGCACCAGTAACCCTGGAAAAAGGACTGAGCCTAGCCATATGCTCCCGTGGGAGTAAAAGTGTCCTTTTCCCCCAGAGAATTATTGTTTGCAGTGCTTCTGAACCAGGGAGATTGTAAATGGGGATGCAGAGCTTACATCTAGTTTGGAGGAAAAACAACATGGGTTGAAATACTGCCTTTCTGCTCCACTTCTTTGAGTTCTTGGGATTATTTTAAATGACCTTGTTTTGTGAGTTCAGTTGTAAATTTAAAGTTCAGCAAGTATTTTGAAACAAGCAAAAAAAAAAATCTGCAGAAAATTCTGTGGAAACTGAGCTAGAGTATTTTTTTTTTTTTTGAGTTCTGACTGGATTTGTGTTTTAATTAATGTGGTGGTTGTTATTCTGGTCAAGCGCTGGCCGCTTGCTCATGCTCAAAAAGCACAGTGCTAGAAAGTTTTCAGTATGTAGTTAGTGTTCCTGTTCTTCTTTGCCAAACACCAGTGTTTCTAGCTGTCTGAAATTTCAGGCAGTAGGTGTGTTAGCAATATTGGAATTTAAATGGTAGTTTTCAAAAGCAATAACTAAAGTGCAGCTATTAATCACCCTAAAAGCTGCCTTCTGAGCAACAGAAACCTGCTTTCTAAAACTGCATTTAAAAGGAAAATAAATAAAAAAAAAAGGTGGTGAGGAAATGTTCTGTCTTTAATCTGTTGAAGTTTGAGGCTTGTGAAAGAGTTTTCCAAAATCCTACTGTCTGTTGGCCAAGTTGGGATCAAAATAAGCTGCACTGAAGCAATCAAGAACTTGATTGTTTTAAGATTAAATTTTCTTCTCATCCCTTGGTATAAAGTTGCAGACAGTTCTGTGGGTGTCTGAACAAATGAAGATCAGGGAGGGAGAGAAAGAGAAACGAGAGAATCAGAAAGCAGTGGCTTATGTTTTTTGCTTTAGTTTGTGAATCTGTCTCATTAGTTTTTTCTTTACCAATAAGTAAAAATTGTGCTGAAAACTAGTATTCACATAAAAGTTTGACAAGAAAGGAATGTAAATTTTTATTGTATTTTTGTAAGTGGGGCTTATTTGACTGTTAATTTTGCTTCTAATGAAAGATAATAATGTTTTTGCTACACAAGATTTCACCCTAAGACAACTCGAACTTCCTGTAAGCTAAACCAGAATTCAACGGGCTAGTAAAAGGTGATTATTCCTGGCTAAAGATGATTATTCCATTGTTTATGGTGCCTTGGGAGAGTGTCAAGTTATTTTGTCTTGTATAGAGATGTTTAAATGACTCTTTGACTTCTGATTTCATCTTGAAAGTATTGTTAGAAGGTTGTTGTGCTATTGAGTAGCCACCAGATGGTAGTATGATAGAGATAATAGAGAAAACATGTACCAGGGGTTTGGCTGTAAGCTAAAATCAGGGGAAAGCTGGTAATGATAATAGGATACTATTTTTATAGGTTGTTGCATGTATTTGAAAAAACAAGCTGTCATATCCCAAATAAAAACTGTATAGGTTTTCCTAACAACACACACTTGTGTGTGCGTCAGCATAAAGAAAAAATATACAGCCAGAAACATCGTTCTTCTCGACTTGAAAAGTTGAAGAGTACCTTGAGGAGCACACTATCTGGAATTGGTGTATGTTTGTTAGTGTGGATGATTTTTTGTTAAGGTGGTGGAATTGTTATCATTGTTCTGTTGCTTAGTGAACTAACTAAAGAGGAAGCACCAACTTTCTTCAGGGCCCAGAGAGACTTACTTATATTTCATCTGGTCACATTGACCAATTTACCTGTTCTGTTTGCAGCGTGTTGCCTTAGATGCAATATGAAAGCCTGAATTTGAGGGTACAGGCCATTACTGAACCATCACCTGGACTCACGATAAACCAGGGGAGAAAAGTTGAGTATGTTCAGAAACATCAAAGACTTCTTTGGATGTGTCTGACTGCTGCCAGAATTGGGTTACTGGTGTAGGTGAACTGCTCCAGCTCAGCAATTTTTCATTGCCCTCTTTCTTGAGGTTTTGAGACTCAGTGCTGTAACTTGTACACTAAATAAAAGTTGTGTAAATGTATAATAGATAGAAAGAAAATAAAACATAATACTGCTATGCGTATGTAAACATTTTTTAGCTTCCAGTTTGTAATTACCGCCCCTGTCCCCTTTCTTTCTGTGGAAAAGTACTTCAGGCATCCAGGCTGGTCCAGAGAGCTTCACAGGACCTGATCTAGGCTTTATGAAAGAGGTAGAAGAACTTGCAAATGGTTTTATTGAGACCACAGAGAAAACCATGGCTTTAGAAAAGCTATGGGAGGAAAACTCAAAGTTCTCAGGTAAGCTGTGACCTTTCTAATAATGAATTGCTTCATCTATCAGGTGGTGATAACCGTTGGACAAAGGAATACTTTTATTTAAAAAATAAAATGAACAAACTAAAATCTTAACTGCCCAGAAAAAAGCCACTTTTATGATTACTATTGCTGTGGCCGTCATAAAATTCTCAGAAAAAAGTTAGCTTTCTAAAATTGTGCTTTTGTTTTACTACTTGATAGTTAACAAAATAAAGTGAGGGGAAAGGTTTTAAAATAGGGGTTAATAATGTGAGTACATGTTACTTGGTCTAACAAGCATTCAAAAGTAACTTATCAGGATTTAAGTTTTTCTCCCCAGGTTTTCTGTTGTACTAGAGAGTATAGGGATAGAAAACCTCAGTAGCTCCCACCTGGTGACCTTTAGGCAAACAAGTCAGTCTCACACTAAAAGAGTGAGACTGGAAATGCCAGGTTCTGCTGCTCCCACTCTGTTCTCACCCATACTGTGCAGCCTTGCTGCTCTAGCAGGTGGGCATTTAAGACCTAGTATTACCCTGACTTTCTGGCTGAGTTTTCAAGTCGAAAGATTTAGGCGAAACAGCCATTTTCATGCCCGGCTGGCTGGGAGCTAATATGTTCATCTAGTCTTGATGTGATGATTTTGCCTTACTGAAAAGTGAATGGTAAGCAATTTATTTTAAGTCTTTTTTGTGATAATAGTAAAAGTATTGGAAAACACAGACTATCAAGTGGATCACTATCTTTCTAGGGTATTAGTTGTTTCACATACCTTTATTCCCATAGAAATGCCCTTTGTGTACTACTTGCTATTGCTTATAAAATTGATTATTCTGAAGTTAATAATGCCCCTCTAAAGGAAAATATTTAATTTTACAGGGCTCCATAACATCACTGCTTTTCTTACTGTAAGTATTTTTACAGTCTATTTCTAAATTACAGTTCTGGATTTTGAGGTATCTTTATTATAATAGTTAGAAATTTGTATACTGTCAAGTTTTAGTAAACTATCTTTAAAAAAATTGGTAAGCTGTTGAAGGAAAAAATGATGTCTTGTAAATTTGATAGAGGTTCAGTGGTTTCTAGATGACTGATTTAAACCAGTCTGGGTTGTTAGTGGCTAAAATTCACGGCTATTTGAAGGCTAATTGTTCATTAGGAGCAATTTAAAAGTGCATCTCTCAGACCTTGTGTAGTTGTATAAAATCATATTACAAAATGTCTTGCAAGGAACTCTTATCCTAATGTGTACTTATTATTAAAAAAAACGAACCAACAAACCAAAAAACCCAAACAAACCCAAAATGTGAAAAGAGACTGCACTGAGATTGAAAAGATGGGGCTATTGCTTGGATGATATTACTTTGAATTAAAGTTTGTGATCCAGTGAATATGGTAAACAGACTCAAGTGGGGGTGAAGGAAGACAGATTTGCAAGATGTAACATAATTACTTCCAGAATTAATTTGGCAGTTTATGTGAAACAAGTTTGGTCTTTGTGCTCTCCCTAATGCATTCATCTTTGACCCTTGCAATCTCAACACAAAAAGGAAGGCTGAATAAGCACAGCAGTGGATCTCCATTACTGTCAATTTTGTACCTTTCACAGATCACTGTTTTCGCTTTAAAAATATTTTAAAATTAATTTTCTCCATACGTGATTGATTGTAACTGCTACTTTATGAAACCTAGATTTCCAATTTATAACTTGAAATTAGATGGCATTTTTATAGTAATATTTTTAAATTGCTCATGAGATACTCAATTGAAAGGAGATTTATCAATATGAAATTTCATTTCTGGAGTGGTAAATAAAATAGAAAGAATGTATTTATCAACATTAAAAATATTTAATTGAAAGTAGCCTATTATTAGTAGTAACAGAGCTAATATACACAACTTCTTTTTGTGTGCTCATGTTACCATTTTCCAAAAGAGCCCTAGTGAAACATTAATTTACAGAGACAAGGACTGCATAATAAACAAGTATGATAGATCCTATGTTTTTCATAGACATCTGATAGTGTAGTTCTATAAAAGAAGTGGTTTTACCCCAGTCCATCCTGAAAGAGCCATTCTTATCAATTATTATTTGACACACCCAGAGCCCCCTGCAAGGAGCTGTGAGGCAAGGATGGCATGTCCCTGGCAGTCCCCTGGTTTTTATGTCCTATACTTAGAAGCTCATTGCAGGGCTAAAGGGCTCCTTATGTTTGAGATCTCAAAGATGATCCTTCTCTTTGGGACAGTTAGGCTTCTGAACAGAAAGAGATTGCTTAGCTTTTCTCCCAGCTACATTTTCCATCAGAGCAGAGAAAGACACCTGAAATAAAGCTGACATAAGTTCAAAGTACCACCAAAATGATTTGGTGAATTACCAAAGCTAGAGGTAAGTTTCCACTTGAAAAAATATTTTAAATGGTTTAAAATTCAGGAGGGCAGGGGAAGTAACAGGCGCTTGCTATTTTTTTTTTTTTTTCTGTTAATGGAAGTGTTGCATGTAAATGTGTTTTCTTTGCATAAAGATGGATTTGAATGAAGTGGAGGAAATGATTTCTAGAGCAGAAAACCTGTACAAGCAACCATATTTCTGGAACATTCTGCATTCACTTCCTCATCTTGAATCGAACAGCTTTTATACAGAAGATGGGTTAGCTGCTGTAGCACAGTTTCTAAAAGGTATTCAAAAGTAAGTACTTTTATGTGCTTGAGAGTGCTCTGTTTTAACATTTTACCTGCAATTCTTTTTCTTCTCACTAACTATTTAATAAAATAGGCATCTTTATCAGTGTAAAGAGGCTGAAATTTTCTTGTATTTACCAGATTCTGTTTTATAGAGGTGTGGGTAGGAGTTTTCACCCATTTTGATTCCTTCATATCTGCACTTTTCACCTCTGGTCAACTTAGCAGAGATTCCCTAGGAGTATCCAAGAAGTACCTTCATCTTACCGATGGTTAAAATTAGCCCATCACATAATATGGCTTTGAACTTTGTAATGGGATTTGGGACTCTTTGAAAGACAGAATATTTACATGCAAATATAAGAAAATAATAGTTTTTATTCTAATCAACTTAATATGTATGTAGCACTTGGTCAATGTTAGGAAAATTACTCCATTTTGCTTCTCAAGCCTCTTGCTATCAAAATAGCTTTGGCTGTTCTCTTGCAAGAAATGAAGCAGTAAGAAAAAACCCACAGAGACTGTATTCTGAATATGAAAGTTTTCAGCCTCAGGTTCCAGAGAGCTGGATTCAGAGGAAGACATGATATCAAAAGCATAGACAAAGAGAAGTATCTACAGCTATTTTCAGTAAAATAATTCACGAAAAACAATGCTTATTTCTTGACTAGCTTTGTATTACTAACATACACTTCTAGAGGTCCTGGCTCAGGCTGAATTTAGTCAGCAGAAAGGTTCCTAAATTTACAACTTCTTCCACTTCCTGGGCTTTACCAATTCTGCTGCATCTTTCAGAGGTGCTTACCAGAAACTTTTCACACCTCCTTGGCGAAGCTAAATAATGTTGGTTTGTGGGTTGTTTTTTTTTTCCCCTCCTCTCACATATGTTGGAAACTGCTGATCCACTCTAACAAAACTGAATTCTTATTTTCATAATAGCAAAGGAATACTCTATAGGAAATAACTGGTAAATTGGACATAAACTTTAAGTAGTAAAGTACAGCTATATTAACAAAGAAGTTTCTTTGACAGCTAAAGTGACTGTGACTTATAAGAAATTCAACAGATATATTTTTATCAATACATTCTATGATGTGCTTTGTTTAATTTGTTGTGAGAATAACTGTACTATTGCTTTAAAGGTTCTTTTTTTCTCTGCAGTTTGGCTGGAAGTGAAATTTATGTATTGTGTGTCTGTCCTGTCTTCTTGTGGGGATAACAGGGAGAACTCTTGTGGTGGTTTTGCCCTCATTTTTGCTCTCTCTTTTAACTCTTTCTCTCTCTTTCTTTTTTTTTTCCCCAGAGGACATTAGTCCTCATAGGAGACGTTTCTTTAAAGAAAATTGAGTGAACTCTAACTGTAAAATCCCAACTTGTGGGGTTTTTTTTTCATTAAAAGTTTAATTTGATGAAAGATCATTTTTTCAACAATAAAGTATTTTAGTATTAATTGCTTGAAATTCATCTTTTTCCACCAAGTCCTTTCAGTTTTTCTGGGTGTATAGAAAGCTTGATTTTCATTTTATTTTTCACTTTCAGTATGTTAGCATCATTGAAGGATTTAGCTATGATGCCATTGGGCAAAAGTTTCTATGAAATGGTGAAAACAGCACTGAATTTAACTGCTGCATCAGTACAGGATAGACGGTTAGAAGGTAAGAAGTTTGCTTCGGATTTTTTTTTAAAGTACCTTGTAAGCATGCTGGGAATATACGATAGCAGTAACTGTTTGAGCTTCTGCTAAATTCCTAATGGGAAAGGTCTAAGAATTGAACTATATTGCTGTAGTACTGACCCATTTCTTTATTGATCTGTTTTTTTTTTAAATGCTAATAACTAAATTTCATCAGGCTCTGGCAACTATTTGATAAATAAAGCACATTGGTCTAATATATCGTGTTTAGAAAGACCTTTCAGTGGTGAATGTTGGAGAGAGACTGAATCACAGCAAAGGATAATTTCTTCCATTTGACAGAAGGGTAGCCTCTTGTTTTGGACACGCCTGTTAAGCATTATGGCTGTTTTACTTTAAGCTTCATTCTTCTGTTATCATAAATTCTGGTCTCAGCTGAAGGGCTATGTTTCCCCATCTGCTGCTTGAGTATGGGAGATGAGTTTAACTGGAGAAGGTAGGCTGGCCCCAGGACGACAACTCAAGAAAAGGTCAGGAACAAGTTTCATTGGCAAAGTGGTGGCACACAATTAGATTCTAGATGCAGCTGTCTGCTCTGCATAGAAGGTCAGGCTAAGAATTATATGTGGTCTAAATCCCACTTCAGCTGTCAAAACCAAGACTGAAATGGTACAAAAGTGATATGCTGGAGCTCTTGCACAGAGGGTGAGCTTGAATTCCCTGGGTCTTCTGGTATTCTCCTGGTGCTCTCCCTCTCAGCCATTATTCATATCCAGCCCATACATGCACATATGCATGACTATGTGCAGAATTACACACAGTTCAGAATGGCACTCTGCTGGGTCTGCTGGCATCTCACCATTATTTTATCAGCTGTCAGAATACCATCAGATTAACTGGCTTTACCGTAATACTAATGCAATCATGGATTTTATACTAGTGAAATTGGTGTTCAGGTGCACACTTGTTTTGTTGGGTATATTTTTGCAAACAGCTGGAAACATGGTGCTTGGGTCTCATCAAGTACGAATCATCAGG